TGTCTTTTTTCTTCTCCTTCCCATCCTATTTTTTTTCTTCTTCTTCCTTTTCTTCTCCTTCCTACTCCTCTTCCTCTCCTTCCTCTTCTTCTTTTTCCTTTTTCTCTTGCCCTGCTGTTACCACGGAGCAAGAGAAAAATTTCCTTGGAATTGGCTTCTCCCAGCTCCAAATTTCCTCCTTTTTTCCTCTTTTCCCTCTTCCCAACATCCACAGGTTCAGAGGGATGAGTTTCCAAGGTTGTCCTTGGAGATTCCCAAGGTTTCTCCATCTCCAACTTCCTCCATCCCATTTTTACCCTTCCCAGAACATTTTCCGTGGAGATTCCCAAGGTTTCTCCATCTCCAACTTCCTCCATCCCATTTTTACCCTTCCCAGAACGTTTTCCTTGGAGATTCCCAAGGTTTCTCCATCTCCAACTTCCTCCATCCCATTTCATTTTTACCCTTCCCTTTTCCTTGGAGATTCCCAAGGTTTAGGCATCTCCAACTTCCTCCATCCCATTTTTACCCTTCCCAGAACGTTTTCCTTGGAGATTCCCAAGGTTTTCTCATCTCCAGCTTCCTCCATCCCATTTTTTACCCTTCCCAAACCTCAGAGGGATGAGCAGGAGAACATTTTCCTTGGAGATTCCTCCTGACCCTTCCCTGGCCATTCTCCAGCCCTGCTCTCTCCTTATTCCCATGGAGTTCCCCAAAACCCATCCCAAGATTCCAGAAGCGACTTCCCAACACTCCCAATGGGAATCAGGTCGGGAATGAGCTGAACTCATCCCAAAATCCTTCCTCCTCCTCCTCCTCCCCAGGCTCCAAGCCCGCATCGCCCACCGCATCCAAGAGCTGGAAAACCTCCCCGGCTCCTTGGCCGGAGACCTGAGGACCAAAGCCACCATCGAGCTCAAGGCTCTGCGGCTGCTCAACTTCCAGCGCCAGGTGAGCGCTGGATTTGGGATCAGGAATGTTGTGGGGGTTCCCAAAAACACCAGGATTTAGGAGCAGGAATGTTGTGGTGGCTCCCAAAAAATCCTCAGGATTTGGGGGCAGGAATGTTGTGGTGGCTCCCAAAAAAACCAGGATTTGGTGACAGGAATGTTGTGGTGGGTCCCAAAAAAACCCACAGGATTTGGGAGCAGGAACGTTGTGGGGGCTCCCAAAAAAACCAGGATTTGGGGGCAGGAACTTTGTGGTGGTGGCTCCCAAAAAAACCAGGATTTGGGGGCAGGAATGTTGTGGTGGCTCCCAAAAAATCCTCAGGATTTGGGAGCAGGAACGTTGTGGTGGCTCCCAAAAAAACCAGGATTTGGGGGCAGGAATGTTGTGGTGGTGGCTCCCAAAAAAACCAGGATTTGGGGACAGGAATGTTGTGGTGGGTCCCAAAAAAACCCACAGGATTTGGGAGCAGGAATGTTGTGGTGGCTCCCAAAAAATCCTCAGGATTTGGGGGCAGGAATGTTGTGGTGGCTCCCAAAAAAACCAGGATTTGGTGACAGGAATGTTGTGGTGGGTCCCAAAAAAACCCACAGGATTTGGGAGCAGGAACGTTGTGGGGGCTCCCAAAAACACCAGGATTTGGGAGCAGGAACGTTGTGGTGGTGGCTCCCAAAAAATCCTCAGGATTTGGGAGCAGGAACGTTGCGGGGGCTCCCAAAAAAACCCACAGGATTTAGGAGCAGGAACGTTGTGGTGGCTCCCAAAAAAACCCACAGGATTTGGGAGCAGGAATGTTGTGGTGGCTCCCAAAATAAACAGGATTTGGGGACAGGAACGTTGTGGTGGCTCCCAAAAAAAACAGGATTTGGGAGCAGGAATGTTGTGGTGGTGGCTCCCAAAAAAACCAGGATTTGGGGACAGGAATGTTGTGTTGGCTCCCAAAAAAACCCACAGGATTTGGGAGCAGGAATGTTGTGGTGGCTCCCAAAAAAACCCACAGGATTTGGGAGCAGGAATGTTGTGGTGGGTCCCAAAAAATCCTCAGGATTTGGGAGCAGGAACGTTGCGGGGGCTCCCAAAAAAAACAGGATTTGGGGGCAGGAACGTTGTGGTGGCTCCCAAATAAACCACAGGAGTAGTTTTTTGGGAGCAGGAACATCCCAAACCAACCACGGGATTGTTTTTTGGGGAGCAAACACCCCAAACCAACCACAGGAGTAGTTTTTTGGGGACCAGGAACACCCCAATCCAACCACGGGGCTGTTTTTTGGGACCAGGAACACCCCAAACCAACCACGGGG